TTTTTTTAAGGTTTCCATTTCAGGGCAGATTAAGCCTCGTTTAGAGAAATGATCTATCGACCTCTTCCAATCTAATTACTAGAGGTGTGGGGGTGGAAGAAAGAACAGCAATAGCTACGCGCATATTACAAAACTAAGGCTGATCCTGTTACACATGGGAGTATATCTTCACAAATAACAACAGAAAAGGATCGGTCAAAGGTATATTAACCCGCCATCTTTCGCATGCTCTTGTACCAGTGACAAGGTTTGGCATTTTTTTGGCTTTGGTTACGCCTTTCTCACAACAGTCCTGTTGCGAGGGAACCCTCTCCAGCTTCAGAAAGGGTGACGGAAGGAATGGGGACTCTCTCAGCCCCAACGCCAGACTGACCTTCAGGCACGAACGCACACGACTTTGTGTCCCGGTCGTTCGCTTTTGCTGATCAAACGGAAAACCAAAAAGGGAAAGAAACCACCCCTCAGTAATAATGTAAAAAAAAAAAAAGTATCTTACATCTCACAAAGCCAGGGATCTGTGTCCCTTTTAATGCCTGGCTCCTTGCGGCCTCTCTGCCCATTCCCCCTCTCTCTGAGTCTTGGTGCCTGAGATTCGGTTGCACAAAAAGATTAGCACTGCATATATTTTGATATGTTGCATTGAAGGAGTGTGTCTATTGCTGGGTGCAGGTTTATCACCCCACTTATTTACCTGAGTCAGTTTTCTTATTTGACCAAACCCAAGCACACTATCAACAGACTGTCCCCTTGGCATCTTTGCTCGTCCCCTCCCCACTCCCCATCCAATCATCTCTTCTTGATGCCGAGGTCCTGCATGTGCTGGAAAAGGAATCAACCGCAAGGAGGTGTTTTTTTAAAAAAGTCTTTGTAAGGCTTGGCTCGGATGTTCGCTGTGGCTTGAGAAAGGTCCGCCCGCCGGGTGTCTTTGGTTAGGTTTCTCCAGCTGTTTTGTTAAGCTTACTCACGGCCTCGGTGGCTTGTTCTGGCAAGCGGGATGGGTCGGAGAGAATGGAGGTGGTGATGCTCAAGTGCCGAAGAGTGTTCAAAACCACTGGGGTGGAGGATGAGAACAGAGGCAAAAACAAAAGAAATCCAGTTACTTGGGTTGCCCAACGGAGTTGCGTGACCTCAGCAGAATTTCAGGAAAGAAACAGGGCAGAGTTAAAGGCTGATTTTAGAGATGGGGGATTTTCATGTTCGTAAACGAATATCCGCGTCCCAGCTGCACCTAATGTGGGTCCACTCAGCAGCCGTGTGGGGAGGCCTGTCCTCCCTCCCTCTGCCCGGAGTGGCCAGCCGGGCAGGGAGACAGAGGAGCGACTTCCACAATTGGCAGGAAGAGTGGGACACGCTTTTGGTGCTAGGTTGCTTGAGTGGACGGGCCGGACCCGCATTAGGTGCAGCTGGGCCGGGGAGGTCCTTGTTTACGAATATGAATATCCCCATCTCTAGTTACTATCCTCCCTGCTCCACCGGTTCGTCTGTTCTACTTACTTGGCCTCAGGACTAGTAAGGAGCAATGCTGGTCCACCCACGCCAACGCCGTCTGGTTCAGTTCCTCTAAGCTGGTTGTGGACACCATCCCATTGAATGTTTCAAACAAGGGATTGATGATGATGCTGAACTACGTAGGGACAAGAGAGTTAAGAAGGCAAACAAAATAGGCACCGAGATTTCTGCACAGGAGGAAACAGAAAAGGCCTAACAGGAACAGTTGAAAAAGACATTATGCATCCAGAGAAAAGTGGAAATGACAGCTTCATTGCAGGAAAAGACAATATACTGTTTGTTGCCGTGACATTTTCCAGAATCAGGAGGACAAAGGTAACCTTTTTTTCAATCATGAACAAAGCCCTAGGAATCTGTGTTCTTATGCCTACAAGAGAAAGGAAGCCCAGTAAATGTTTTACACCAATGCTGTCAAGTCCCAGCTTGTGAAGATTGTCCTCAGACTCTGTAGGCTTTCCAAATGGCATTGAATTTGATAGTAAGGTGCAAAGCATGTGTGCACATGAGCACAAATAAAATGCAGAGAGAAGTTGCTGCAGTGTACACATATTAATCATAAAAACTACTATGCTGATTTGCTCCCTTCCCTCCTCACAGTTCTTGCCTTCCTGTACTTCTTAGTAAAGCCTCAATTCTTCCATGCCATCAGTCTGGGCCTGCCCAGCCGCCAAAAAATGCAGGATGAGCAGCTGCCTGGGCCATCATAATTCAAAAGGTGCCAACCTTAGACCATTATGTAGCTTGAGCTGGTTATGTTTTAAGCCAGCCAACAAAGCGGCATCTGTTTGAAACTCTTGATCCCTCCAATCTCTCGCGTCTCAATCATTTCATCAGGGTACTGAGCTTGAGATAAACACTTCCTATAAACAAAACCAAAAAAATAAAATAAAATGCTCCATTCTTAATCAGAGCAGCTGCTGATATAAATCACAGGAAATGAGCAGTTATAATTTTAGTCGAAGCTTGGAGAATTCCCTCCCATCTTTCTGGCATGTCAGAAAATGTCCGCTCCTCAGATGAGCTGTTCCTTCCACTGACGCACCAAAAATCCTTCCACGCTTCTCATGGAAGCTGAGATTCAGAGAGCAAAATTAATCTTTAGGTGACGCAAACGGCACTCCTGTCTAGAATCAATGACCTGCTGACCTCCTGCTGCAACCTCACCACACAGCTAGATGATGATGGTGGCGGAACACCGCCTACAGCTAGCTGGCTCTTGGGATTATTATGTCCCCGTGCCCACCTGAAAGCAGGGTCCAAGGTGGACAACAGCAACCACAGGTAAAATACCACACTCTCAAGAAGGGGAGAATGGAACATAACTCTCAGCCGTTCTGCCCAAAACAGAACATGATCTCCTCTGTAGCAGGCACAGGCAAAGAAAGGATACGATCCAAAACTTCCAATTCTGCAAAGTCCTGTTTCTGACATATTCATCAAACATGTTCCGCATGTGATCAAACCTCTGCCGTGTGATGGGAACCCCCGTGGCCGGGAGCTGCTGTTGACAGGAGCTGAAGAGGATGATGGAAAGAGCAGAACTCAGAATAATTTCCTGTCTACACAACCTAATGTTTATCTACTATAGACTAAAGATTTTATTGGGCAAATTTTCAGACATAGACTTGGGGTAAGTCATTGTCTGGATCACAGATTCAGATGGCATTCCACAGCCACGCTATACCGGTTTTACATTCCAATAAATGTCAGCACAGGGTGGGGTGAGGGACCCCAACTTTATGCACTGAAAAAAAGGGAAGATAAAATATAGAAAGGAAGCAGGCATTGTACAATGAAACCGACCTGCATTAAGTCCAGGGCAGACTCGAAGAGCCTATGTATGAAACTCATAACCTAAAGACATGGCAATATTTTTAGTTTAGATGGCTCTGAGGAGAGGATTAGACTAAATCATCGGAGGGCAGGGTCTATCAGCCATGATGTCTGAATGAATCTTCCACATAAAACTATCAAAAAAGGAGTATAACTTCGTATACAAGCTGGTATGGAATATTCATGTGTCCAAGGGCATGGATCAAAAAGGTGCATACAGGCAAACAGTGGATTTTCTGCAGAATTACTGCTACTGAGAGTTCAGCCAATCCCCTCCTAATCCCCAGTTTACAAGGATGCTGCTTGGGAACAAGTAGCTATTGGGCTTACAATGCTAAGTAAACACAAATGGCTATTCCAGGGGATCTTCCCTTTATTGGAGACAGAAATGGGGAAAATAACGGGTATGTGTGCTCGTTTGGCTTTTCACTCTCACATGATGTTGGCGTTCAGCTCCTCAATTTCTTCCCGGAGGCGCCTGGCTTCTTCCTGCATCTGAGATCTCTCCTGTTGCAACTTGGCGATGTACTCCACCGTCTTCTGGAGTGTGAGGGCATGGCTGATCTGCAGCAGATAAAAGGGTTCAGACTTGAAGGCCCCGGGGGGGGGGAGTAACAAAGAATGTCAGACCCCTTTTGGCCACATGTGGCCTTAAAGGAAACTTCCTTGGTAACTTACTGATTTAGAGTTCAGTGACACCAAGGTGCTGAGTGTGCTGAAGCCAATCTTGATGTTAAACCGACGCTTCTGTTCTGCCGAAATATGCTTCATCCTGCGATTCTGTTCCCATGAAAATAAACATTTACTTTTTCGAAAAATATTTTCATTATTTCTGCCTCATCGTCACTACACTGCACAAAGAGTTACAGAGACGGTAACATGAGCGTCTTTTTTTGTTTCTAGAGTGGAATGCTGCTTCCAGAGCCAGGAGGACTCTTCTCCTCCTCCACCACCCCGCCCATCGACACCAGCTCTCGGAGCGCAACGATGGAGGGAAGACGAAGGAGCTGCTCTGGAGAGCGAGGCGAGGGTGGGCCAGAAAACACGGAAGGGAGTCACGAAGGCCACCAGGAGTCTTAGGGTTGACAGGCCTTTGGTCCACCAGTCCACAGCCTTGGTATGTCCATGTAATCCTTGTGCTTTACTGCAAAAAGGCCATGAAGTAAAATACAGCCTCTATTTCCTTCCCTTTCCAATCCCATTTGTGTTCCCACCCCACCCCACCAATCTCTAGTTCCTGGTGAGTCAGTGACTTGCTTTCTTTCTTCCTGAATAAGAGCACAGCCTCCGTTCGCACACAGAATGTGGCAGCTCAGTCATCACCCTGTCATTCCAGGACCTGCCCCCAAACCATCACTGAATGGAAACGGTTCATGCCTCTAGGCCCTGAATGCAGTGATGAATGGATGAGTATATTTATCACAAAAGGGACCAACTTCCTTCCCCGACTTGGGGCCCGCCCACTCTGACTGACTACAAGGCCCATCATCTCCAACAAGCCTGCTGGTCGGATGGCAGGCACCATATAGACCAAGCACACCATGAGAGCACCGCGACTGGGAAAATCGCTGAGCACCGGGCAGGAAACAAACCTTGAAAGCAGCCATTTGAGGGTCATTCAGCGGCTTCCCTGAGAAACTGTTTTGAGGGGACTGAGGGCTGGGGCTCTGCTCGGAAGGGCACGGCGAAGCTTGTCCTGAGGGCTGACAATCCCTGCCTGCGAAAAAGGAGAAGAAAAGAAACTGAATAAAGCCAGGTTACTAGCCCAGAGGGAATTTTTGGTAGCCAATAAAAAGATCAAGCAGCATCCTCTCTCTGGATCTGACCATTTAAAACTGTGAGAATAGCTTTTGGTCTAGACTGGTGGTTTCCAAGAGATTTTTGGACTGCAACTCCCAGAAGCCTTCACCACTCGCTGGGCTGGCCAGGATTTCTGGGAGTTGTAGTCCAAGAACACCTGGGTTCATCAAGGCCGGGAGCCATTGTTCTAGAGCACAAATGTGTTTAGATTTCCATTCTCTGACCGGCAGGTTGCTCACATGATAGTCCCTTCTTTACCACTCACGCCATAACCTGATCCTAAATACTATGCTTTCTTAAGACTGCAGATAGACACGGCGCAACACTGGGAAAAGCGGTCGCTTGCTTTTAATTTAAGAAAGTTTTTAATTGTTTAACATGTTTTTAATTCAGAAAGCAAGCCCTAAGTGCACCCCCTTGGGTACCTCCCAGTCAAACAGATGTCAGGATGCATGGCTGGGAAAGGTCTGTCTCTGCCCGAGTCCCCGGGGATATCAGAAAGTCCTCGGCTGCAGGGACCCTCGGCCTGACTGCAGGAAGGCAACTTCACCCGCTCAGCGCCGATGGTCTGGAAGGTCGCTGGCACTTTGCACGGGTACGTGCACAAGAGTGTATGTTGAGTCCCTGGGGATATCAGAGAGTCCTCGGCTGCAGGGACCCTCGGCCTGGCTGCAGGAAGGAAACTGAAGGTCGCTGGCACATTGCACGGGTACGTGCACAAGAGTGTATGTGTGCAAAAGAGGAGAAGTATTTATTATTTAAATGTATTTAAAATATGTATAGCCTGCCTTTCTCCTTAAAAAAAAAAAGAAGACCCCAAAGCAGGAGCTGCAACAAAAGCAGCAGAAAAACAGTGGAAGAGATCTGAGTTTACCTGACACTTATGGTTATCTAGACAGGGAAATGAACAAGAAGAGCTTTCATACAGCACTTCCAGGGCTCAGATGAACGAAACGCGATCCTCTTTCCAACCAAGCTGAAAGCAAAGGCCACGGGCCAAAAACCACAAGATCCTCGGGTGTCCCTTGAATCTTTACAAAGGTCCCCGCAATCCAGGTCTGAAACCTTGTCCAAAAACCTGAAGGGAGGTTCCCCACCCCACCGTCCAGGCTCCACCTTTCTTTCTTTCTTCCACTTACTGGGTGAAGGCGAGAGGCCGTGCGTGCTGATTTTGTGGGGAAGGGCTTGCTCGCCTTTCACTAACACTTCCCGGATGGCGCTAGGAGAAAAAAGGTGCGGCACCGCGGCTGGGATTGGCTGGGGGCTTGGAGACGGCTGACCTGGACTGAGCAGAATACCGCTGTGGAATTCTGGCCCTTGAGACACCTGAGGACAAAACGGGGAGGAGAAGAAAACAAAAACAAGGCACACCTGACTGGTTGGCAGTTCCCAGCATCAAGCAGCCCCAGCCCCAGCCCTGCCACGCCCCGGGACAGACTTCCCAGTTCTTACTCTGGCCATTCCCGATGGTGCAATGACGACATTCGGCTGGGACATCCTAGGAGCCAAGACCCCTTCTCTTTTCATGGGCGATGGAGTTACAATCACGGCTCTAGGCTGTCCCTGAAAGGCCGCTGAAAAGCAGAGCAGAAGGTGGAAAGAGGAGTGCTTTCTGGCCAGCATTTAAAAATCATGCTGTCCTACAGGACAGGCGGTTCATGTACATTCCACTTCATTCAGACAGACACGCATATACCAACGGAACGGTTAACCTGTCAGCGACCGGTCATTAAATTAAAAGAAGCAACCTCATCTTACGACGCTTGGTACCCCCTTTATTTCTTTATGGACAAACTTCTGCATTTAAGGGCCGGTCAGGACAACAATGCAAACCTTCAGAAACCCGTCTTTTGGTACAAAGAAGCCATGAGAAGAAAATCTCCAGACATGTCTAAGAATGTTTTCATTTCTCCTAACCGTTTCTACCATTTCTATATCTGGACATCAGGGCCTCTGTCACTATAAACGTGCTATTCTTCCTGCCACGTTTTCCTTCATTATTTGGGGGTTCAGAACATTTTTAAAAGCACAGAAGCTTAGGTCTATTTACAGTGGTGCCTCACTTAACGATTGCCCCGCATTACGACAAAATCGCTGTACGACTATCGTTTTTGCGATCGCAATTGCGTTTACAAAACGATGGTCTAAACAGGGTTTCTTCGCTTTGTGATGATCGGTTCCCTGCTTCGGGAACCAATTCTTTGCAAAATGATTTTTTTAACAGCTGATTGGTTGTTTCAAAATGGCCACCGGGTAATTAAAATGGCTCCCTGCTGTGTTTAGGGACAGATTCCTCGCTTTTTCTTCCCCACTGTTTATACTTCAAGAAGAATTTTAGCTAGAAGCCGGCCGATTTGCCCAGATCCCAAGGGACACTCCCTTAGGCTTCCCAGCTCTCGAATGGCTAGGGGCAGGAAAGAGACCTCACTCCTCGCCACTCTCTGCCTCGTTCTTTTTAAAAAAGGATTCTGAATGTAGGTTCTGCAATGCCACTAATACGGAGATACGCCGTGATGGACTTTGACCAGAGGTCAGTCACTGCACAGCGGGCCAAGTTTATTCCAGCTCATTGCATTTGCACCAAGACATATTACAGCAAGCAGTAAGCACATGAGAAACAGATGCTTCCTGTTTTTACGGCTGTTCAGAGTGCTGACTTTGCTGTCTCTTGCAACAAGTGCAAAGCCACCCCCAACAACACAGAGATATTTCAATTTTTAAAAAAAGATATAGTGATTTTTTGGGGGAGGGGACAAACAAACAAACCCTACTGCCGGTCATTTAATGAGGTCCATGTACTAAAAGCCCAAACTGGCCTTTTCCAGGCAACTGCTGAAGAAGGCCACCCTTCATTTTGCAGGAATCAAGAGTTCAAGCATCTGGTGAAGCACAATCACTTGAGACAAGATGGATTTTAAAGAAATCGGTCACACTGGGGCCTTCCGTCCTTCACGGCCTGGCTTCTTTTTCTTCCCCACTGTTTATCTCTATACTTCAAGAAAAAATTTAGCTAGAAGCCAGCAGATTTGCCCAGATCCCAAGGGACACTCCCTTAGGCTTCCCAGCTCTCAAACGGCTTGGGGCAGGAAAGAGACCTCGCTGCCCGCCGCTCTCTGCCTCTAGCCGGTCAAGAAAGAAAGAAAAGAAAAGAAAGAGTCACCCACCAGCTACTCACCTGGGGTGATAAACGCATTTTTCAACACCAAGGAAACTGTTTCTGGCTTTGGAGCAGGCACAATCTTTTGCGGCTTCTTGGGCCTCATCCCGGCACTGGCCGCAGAGACTGAAAAGTTGGGCAGGGGCTGCAGGAGGGGCTGCCGCGGCGTGACGGCGGTCTGGAGGGTGAGGTTGCAAGGCACTCCTCCCATCCCCGGCGGCGGCTGGTTCACCAGGAGGCCAGCCTGCCCGTGGCTGAAGGTGGTGGCGGGGACGTTCCGCGTCAGGGTGGCGGAGGCGGTGTGGGTGATGACGGAGGATTTGCACAGCTCGGCGGGGGCGAAGAGGGAGGCCATCCCGCCGCTGCTCAGAGGCAGCGCTGCCTGCTGCAACGGGGAGGCCAGAGGAGGCTGAAGGAGGGCCCCCAGATCTGGGAAAGGAGGCAGGAACTGAGGCTGTCCGCTCAGAGATGGTTCGGAAGGGAAGCCGGCCGAATCCAAGAAGGAGTCCCCGCTCCTCAGGCCGAGGCACTGGTCAGCGACAACGTCCGCCACGTTGGGCAGGAGGGGGGCAGGCACCGGGGAGGTGACGAGCCCTTCTCGGAGGTTCATCGGGGTGAGTGGGTTGGACAGAGAACCTGAAGAGAGGTCCGAGGTCTGAAAGGAGAGGAAAGCAGTTATTCCTTGAAGAGAAAAAAAAACCATTAGCTGAGAAGGTCTTTTTCAGACTGGACCTATAACCTGCTTTGCCTAGTCTCTTGGCCGCATCACCCATCTCGAGGTTTTAAACCACTGTACAGGACCACAGCCAGGATCCACAGGTGACAGAGTCAATGCCCAACAGACATCTCTTACGATATGCCTCTGGGACGGAACTGACTCTAACCTTCGGAGTTACCCGACTCTCACGTGGACCCTCCAAAGGCTGTGTCTGCCAGCTGAAGAGAAGCCATGTTGCTTAAAATGACACCAAATAGGTACGCAAAAGATAAATAGGGAAAACTGGTTCAGTTCCAGTCATACCAATTTCCCCAGCAGTGGTAGCGACGACCGTCTGGCAGGCCAAAGGTCTGGGGAACGCACTTTGAAAGCTGAGATCAGACACCTCAAATCTAGGTGGCACTTCCAGAAAGCAGTGTGGTACAGAATCAGACCACTGGTCCCTTTAGCAAAGTACTGAATGATCTGACTGGGTGCGGCTTTCCTATCCCCTAAAAAGAGGCTGAGACCAGGGACCTTCCAGAAAGGAGTGCGGTACAGAATCAGATCACTGGTCCCTTTAGCAAAGTACAGTACTGAATTATCTGACTGGGTGTGGCTGTCGTATCCCCTAAAAAGAGGCTGAGACCAGGGAACTTTCTGCATGCAAAGCAGGTGCTTCACCACGAGATGATGGCCCTCCTCCATTCTCACCTGGGAAGACTGATTGCAGGCGTCCACCATGGCAGAACCGGCAGTCGGAGTGGCACCAAAGTAATTACTGGGACGATTGGACATGAAAAGTTCTGAGGAAAGACAAAGGAAGGGAGGAAAGCATGAGTTCAGACTCTTCCTGATTCTATTGCTTCTTTTCACTAAACTCTGTTTGTGGAAAGTTGATGTGGCAGCCTGGCAAACTGAAAGCAGAAAGGAAAAGAGGACCTGGCAGACTTTAAAAAAAAATTAAACAAGGAATAAAGAAGGGAACATAATAATAGCATACGAAATGAAAAAAAAGATCCCTCTACCAGGGAAGGCTCCCCAAAACAAAGGCCAGAATCCAAAAATCTATTCTCATTTTTTTCATTGTCCTTCAGAAATGTTGTTTACAAACATATTTCAAAGTGATCCAAGGCAGGCTACACATTTTTCTGTGCAGAAAACAAACGAACGTTTTAATTTGATTTTTAATTTAAAAAAAAATTCAGTGAAAAAGAGAAGAGCCCGTCTTTCAGATAAATATTTCTGTGCACAGGGAGGTCGGGTGAGGTGTGTTAGAAGCACACACACATATGAGCCCCTGCACTCAACCTGAAGTGATTCAGCTCTGTTTGAAAAACGCCAGACACCACTACCATGAATTCGCCCTCCACGACGACACCTTAAAACACTAAGCAACATTCAACTGCCAAACAATGTTTAGAAGCAACCAGTACATCTGCATACCAGTACATAAATGCTACTGGCAGAAATCTGTGCTGGCAAACAGAACGTAATATTTCTCTAAAACACTTACCTTGAAAAAGTTCACAGGTATCCATGCAGTTTGGCTGCAGAGGACTAAGCCCTGGCTGAATCATATCGGCATTCCCTAAGTGTGCTGGAAAATTAGAAAGAGAAGTGAGAAGGCAATGGGAGAAACTCGGAAGCACTCAGGAACAACGAGCAGTTCCCTTCCAAGCAGAAGGAACTGGGCAGAAGATCTTCCAGACGGGCCAGTAAGGAACAAGCAGCTTTGACAAGAACCAGTCTAAAGATGGATCTAAATAAAGGTGATTTATTACACAAAGGAACACATTTTTTACGAAACGTATTTGCCTTTTACAGCACAAGACGAAGGGGGGCACCTAAAGGGGGGCACCAACAGTCTGTGGCAAATCTGACACCTGCTTTACAACATCCACGTTCTTGAAGGCAACAGAAAGTGTTTTGCTGATATCCCAGAGAGAAGCTGAAAGGCTCCCTGTGTTTTCATCAGGCAGCCGGGCAAACAATTCCCATTTTCTTCTAGACAAACACAGCTTTCTTTCAGCCAAGATATTCTCCCTTGGACTAAAAACCAATCCTCTGAAGGTACATTTTTACCTTTCCTTGGCCCACTTCTCTGGATTCAAAATCTAGTCCACTTTATATAGTCCACTTTTGTTTGCTCAGCAAAAAAATACCAGCTAGTGCTTAATTATTTTTGAACAAGAGTCATCTGCCCAGAAGCCCCCTCAAGTCTTTAAATCTCGGATCTATAGAGGGTGCCTATGTGCGGAAATAACTAGGGAAAGGAATTCTGTCTACGCTCAGAAACACTACTTCATATGTTTAAAAACATGTTGCCCCAGCTTTTGCAAAACGTGTGTTGGATGAAACCTCATCTCAATATTACCAGCTGGGGGAAGCACAGTTGGAAATTTTTAAAAGTGCACGGTGCTTTCTCTAGAAGTCACGGGGACCAGCCAATCTTATTTTCCTGGAACAACCCTTTTGCCCAAGAGAAAGGAAATTGTTGTACCTGTTTCCTTGGGATGTGAGCCGGCCGGCAGGTGAGAAGACAGTGTGGAGAAGAGGGTGTCTGGTAGCTCCAGCATAAGCATGTCCGTGCTAAAGAGGGAGTCCAGTTCCATGGGGACTGGCTTCTCTTGGCCGTAGGTCTCATGATGCAAGAGGAGTATGTCATCATCCTAGGAAGAGAAAAAAGGGGAGTTAAGAGGAAAAAGGGAGGGACCCCACAGCCACTGTATTCAACAAGTCAGGGGTCTTCAAGGCAGCATCCTCCAGAAGATAAAGCAGGCAAGGAGAGAGGAGCAAGCAATGGCTGGCAGAAGAGGGACTACACTGAACAACTGTCTGGGGGGGTCTTCCAAGATATAATTGTGATTTTGACATCATCACATAGGCATGGATTTTACCGAGTGCCTTTGCTATATTTCAGACAAGAAGAATCAGCCCTAGTGAGGGCCACAGTTTGGATGAATCAAGCAGAGCCAGTAGACAGTCTGCTCAAACAGTGTTTCCCTGAAAACGTAAAAAATAAAATTGGCCCTCTGATTCTGCAGCAGGACGCTGCAGATTGCTCAGTCGTTGAACACAGAAGTGAATACCTTTTGCTAATCAACAGGGAACAACTCTGTGATTCATTTTTAAAAAAAGAGTTTGGAAACTTCTCCAGCAGAGACAAAACAAAGGCTAATCTGACCACCTACCCGGACCAAGCTGGAAAGGTCTTCATCTTTGTGTTTCTGCAACTGGGGAGGGAAAAGAGAAAACGGACTTTCAAAATCAAGATACACAGCAGTACAAGAGACTTCCCCAACCTGGTCTCCTCGAGATGTCTGAAAATTAGCCTGTCGTCTGTCGTTTTCTTTCAACTTACCACGTGGTTCTGGAGCAGGTGTCCTGACGCTGGCAGCAGAAAGATGCGGGTCCAACTTGCTGCCTTGCATGTATTGTTACTACAACTCTCAAAAGTAGTTCACCAGGCATTCAGAGGCCGGCCAAGTTGGGTAAGATCATTCTAGAGGGACCAGCAGGGGCCGAAGTTCCCATTGGTCTGAGGGATTCTTACTGGTTTGAAACAAAAGATCCCGGAACCCAGATTTCTGCTATCTTTCCTAAACAGCTTGCTTGCATCAGGACTAGTTGACTGACACCAGAATACGAATACTGGAACAAATGTTAACATTTTGGGATCTTTATTTGTCTATAGCAGCTTACGAAGGAGACTCCAGTCTAATCTGAGACATGTTCACCCTAAAATACCCAAGGCAGACAGCATACCCTTTTTTTGAAGTAGGTTCTCCACTTGTGATACTCTCGTATTACTATTTCTATCCGCCGCTTCCAATACTTCCCTTCTGTTGCAATAGCCTAAGGAAAACAAATAAACAAGTAAGTAAGGCAGGCCTTGGAGGGAAGGAGGGGGGGAAAAGTATTCTTTGCACTGGGGGTTGGTGGAGTAATTCAGGGCCTTCCTCTACTAAGAACTCACTGACAATTAAAACAACTGTTTACTCACAGACAGGCATTATAACAATCATGCACAGCCACAAACACATGCAGGCATGCGCACACAAAGCCATGCACTCTTCCACTAATACCATGAGCTTTGCTCACTGTTCACATTCCCTAACTTGAGACTTTGATGGGCCAGCTATTATTTATTGGAGGTACCTCCTGCATTTCCTCCAACGAGCTCAAGATGGCGCACCAGCTCTCCTGCTCCCTACTTGGTCCCCCTTACCAACCCTGTAAGGTAGGTATGGATGGGCGTCATTGGCCCAAAGTTACCAGCTGAATTTTACTACTACACCACATGAGGGACTGGATTTGGCATGAAAGCCAGAGGTTCCCCATTCCTGGTACATCCCGAGGATCAAATCGGTGTATACACACGCAGAAGGTCACAATCCGAGCTGGGATGCTATTAGAAGAGGAAAGCAAGTAGCTCTTTCCAGAATGTCACTCCCTTTGAGCTTCCATTTGAGCAAACGGATGCCAAAGGAAGCCCATGTTTTACTCCTGGGAGGAAAGCCGTGGGAGACCGAAAGTGCTCATGTGATGACAGCACTTAAGGAATTGCCACTTCTAAAAGTTTAGCCCTTTGTGGCATCTAGTTTGAAGCTGAGCTAGAGGGATATTGGCCTGGACTTAAGAAAAATGCCCTGCTATCATTCTGCCTGGTTTCCACATTGAGAAGACAGCCCCTCAGCGTCCTCCCTTTCCTGCCAACACACCTGGCACAATTTATTATGTGTTACTAACTACCAAGGAGGTCAAATTCCTATACGGGACACACAAAAGGGACTCGTTTACAAACCCTACGGATATACTCAAAGAACTTTAAAGTCTCTAAGAGCAACTAAAGGCAACTGAGTTGACTGCAACGCAAATGAAGCCAGTCTAAAATGTCAGGTATGCATGTCTGCATTACAGGTGTAGTTAACGCTGGAGTTTGCGCCTGAGGTACCTCGGGGCGCCGGTGCTCATCAACTTCCACGGAACCGTCCAAGGGAGTCACAAAATGGCACACAGGGTTCTTCCGCTTTTCCAAATCTGTGGTAGGAACGAGAAGATTAGCAGTGCAAACCTCCAAGAAAGAGAGGGCATTGAGTCCGAATGAACTACCACTCCAAGTACGTCACAGAAAACCCTCGGATCTTTTCGGAGAAAAAGGATTGTCCCTATGCCAAGATCAAGAGTGGCCCTCAAAACCTGCGGGTTTTCTTCCCTATTTTCACGCACCACAGAAAGACTCCTAATTTTATTTGCAATACACAGGACCGGAATGAGGGAGAAGGAAACAAACCAATTAGGGACACTTCCGTAACTGTTGAATCTCTTTCAGTTTCAACCATCCCTTCTTCTTGTAAAAATATATACCTCTCCTGTTTTAACTGACAGATGCCGTACAATGATATTGAAACAACTAAACGAAAGTGGAAGCAGGAAAGATAACAAAACTATCAACCAGGAAGGGACCACACAAGAGAGAGAGGTGTCTTACTCTTTCACTACAGGAAGTGTTCTCCTAAAAGCCAAATAATGAGGGGGGGGAAGGGTTTAGGCTGAGATCTTTTCAGTGGTGGCCCCTAAAATCATACATCTTCCTTCCAAGGGAGATTAGAAGGGGTTCAGAGAACCAGTTAAGCCCCTGTTTTTCCAGGGGGCAGGGGCATATGGGTCAAAAGACAACGTGGTCACTTTGCTCCCTCCTAGGGGTACGCTTGTTTTTCTTGCCGTTTTTGTTTCTTAAGTGCTTCCTGCTCACACTGCAGCTGAAACCTTGTGGGTTTCCGACAGGAGGAGGCCTGTGATTCCCAGACAAAACAAATAACTGTGGTGTCGCGCAGATGTTCCCCCCCCAAGGGCTCGAGCAAGTTCCTTACATTGGATGTACCAGGCCCTCCAGATGGCGTTGTTGAGCCGAATCTTGTCCCTGCACTGAAGCTTCAGGCCTTTGAAATTCTTCCACTTGGGCGAGACCAACTTGCCACTGCAACAGAACACAAAAGCGTCAAGTTTTAAATATATAATAAAACATTCAAAGTAAACAGAGCTCAATACACTAGGCCGAGAGGAGATAAAACTGCCCAGCATTCCATGAAGAAGCCTCAGCTATGACTGACATGGGAGCAGAGGTCAGAGGGATAGCCAGGCATGACCAGTGAAACTAAAACCTTCTTCTCTGGCCACTAAGCCAGAAGGTGAGGAAGCCATGCAGGTGCTTCTCCTCCACCTAATCCTTCCCACATAGGCTAAAGACATTACAAAGAAGACAGTTTGCTCTAACTAAAACAGATATCCTCCCTTAGCAATGTCACACTCTTTTGGGTTACTGTACCAATTCACAGAGTTTGCATAAATACAGTACTCTAGGATAGTGGATTTCAATCTGTCTTCCAAGGATCAAAAGAAGCCACCTATAGGGTAATGATCAGAAGCCCCAGTATATGGTCTATCACAAGTGATAGCAGTGCCTTAGGGGTTTTAGCATCTGAGAGAGAAAGAGACAGAGAGAGATCTTTATCATCCCTTACTCCAGGGTCTTTTTTTCAAATTAGAGGTTTATTTACTGAAGATACTGCTGAGTTTCCTTTCAACAAAGAAGAAATCCCTGAGGCAACTGTCAATTTGAAACCTGAGAGCAATCTGTGAACTCATGCCAAGGTGCTTGAGGTGGGAACCTTCCACCTGCAAAGCATGTGCATTGCTACTGATCTGCGAGGAAACTGCCACACACACACAAACACACAGCACCACCACCAAGGAAAGACTGGAGGGGTTTTTTAATAAGGAAGAAGGAGCAAGATTCTCAGAGAAGGCAGCTTAGCTCACTGATCACGACAGTCCTTCTGCTGCAAGGTGTGGCTTTAGAGGAGGAGGCGATGCTGGGCCTATTTTTGACAGCTATTTGGTCCATGGATGTCGGTGGTTAAGGCTCAACACACTTCCACAGAGTCCCACAAAATCTTCTACAACATGCAGAAGCTCCTTGGAAATGCCAAGGTCCTTTGTCACACAAGGCAATAGTATGGAAGCGAACCGACAGGTTTAAAGTCAGCTCTGCCACCTCAGCAATCCCACATACACAGAGAAAGAGAGCTTCTTCAAGGTTTGGTTTCACCTGGCGATCCATCTGCACTAGGAAGATGGGGGGAAAAAGCAGCACGGAGAAAACTTAACTTTGCAGCTTCACACATTACTGCCAACTCAGAAGTCATCTTTAAGAAATATATTGGGAAAATGTCAACTCTGCCCATTCAAAACCTCTCTCCCACAAGCAAAATCGTGTGCATAATAGTTCTGAGCACGATAGCTGCATGTGAGAAGTACCATCTTGCAAGCCAGACACAGTACACTTAAATTACTAATCCTTCATGATCTTATGATCCATTGCCGGGGGAGGGGAGGGGAGAGAACCTCTGGCCCTCCAGATGGTTCAGTCTTTAATTCCCATGCTACTGATCTGCAATGGCCCGAAGTGAGGGAGAAGCTGAGCAGACGTTCAGAACATCTGAAGGAGTGAGGAACTTCTATCTCAAGAAGTGGTGAAGCCCACTTAAAACGAAGAGATGGATCTCCATTCAAGAAAAATTCCTCAGTTTAAAACATGGCCGTGAAAGAAATCATCAAAGAAACAGAATTAAGTGATGTCCAGATTGTCCCAAATATTTAAGGGATAGCAGAGTTAAACTCTTGAAGGGTTCCTGGCAGCAGCCACGCATCACAAGAGAGACCCACTCAGCGTGATTCCACCTTCCACTCGATCCTCCCAAGAGGAGCCCGGTGCAACACTGTTTACACACATATGCACGTGCACGAAATACACAAGCAGTGGTCTCAGCTTTGTGTGTGTGTGTGTGTGTGTGTGTGTGTGTGTGTGTGTGTTGTGTGTGTGTGTGTGTGTGTGTGTGGTGTCAGCCTCTGCTTCCAACTCTTACACAGCATTATTCTAATAAATCCTGTAACCGCTCACAGTCTCCGAGGGGCTTAAGTCTAGACGCAGAGACAGCTGGCTTTCTTTCCACTTCACGGCTTAGGGGGCCACAACCAGCTTTATGCGCTTTAAAACCTTCAGGGCGGAATGGATGACAGTTTCTTCAATCCTTTTTAATGCCAATCAACAAAAACGCAAGACTCGCCCATCAGGAACACAGAACCAGAAAGAAAGACCAGGGAAAATTCACTGAATCCTGGATTGTTCTATCTGGACTCCTTCTGCCGTAAGCGTAAGGGAGACCGACAAACAGATGGAGCAGACCTTTTCCTACTTGTGTCAGTTTCCCCAACCCAAAACCATCCCACTGAAGTTGGCTATGCTCCCGGGGGTCAAAACAAAAAGCAACCTTCTACCCAGTCAACCACGTCTACCATAAATTAATCCTCCCTTACTGTCTCCCTCACAGTCATTTCTATGCAGCAGGAGGTTGCTCTGGGACCTAGAGGCAATCTCTAGCAATAACTAATGCCTACTGATAAGATATACAAAAGATCCAGGCTTCCCCCTTTTGCTTTTTTTTCCTCTACGCTTGTTAAGAATTTTACTCCTATATCTGCATTGACATTGTAACCACCATTGGCAAGTTTCAAAGAACCATTATAAGATGCTTTCAGATAAACAAAATAAACCGAACGGGGCGGCCATGTGGCAAAGTTTCTGCTCTGTCAATAGGACTTGCCAGACTTTTTATTACTGGGCAGCCGGCTTGTTAAAAGCTCTCACAATGCTCCTGAATATCACTATGCTGGGCCACCATGGAGCATCAGAAAGGTCGTCAGGTCTAGACCCCGGGAACTGCTCCGAGTTTGGGACTAGAAGTAAAGGCCGCAAGGACCCAGATTCCCACCGTGGGCCTTGCCAGAGGTCCAAGGACGTTAGGGGTCTGACATAAAGCTTTGTTATCTCTATTATTTCCTCATGTGCTCTCCCTTCTTCCCAGCCTCAACTGGCAGGGAACCTGAAATTCAAAAAGAACTTCAGACCCTTTACAGCAGAGGAAAAGATCAGCCAGTGGCAGTTCTTAAGTTCCAAATATGAAGCGCTATGTCATTCTGGCAAGGGAGAGAGAGAGATGATCATTTTCTTTAAACTCACAGCCCTTACAGTCAAAATAAGTTACTAAATAGGTTCCTACTGATTCACAGCTGGACTGTGAACTCCGTATGGCTTACAAACAACCCTGATCATTACTTCACTCCAAGGCATTGGTAAAATCCTGTTCCTGCATCAAATAGCAGAAGCAAGAGTTTTACGCAACATGACTGCATAAGAATGCATTGATACTGACAGCATTATATTCCATTTGCAAGAATGAAGGCACACACCAGATCCTCTCTGGCTGATATTACCACAGCTCCTGCTATAGCTAAAGTACTTGGATTTCCTGCTCCATTACAGAGCACTGATAATAAAGTGTATGCTATTATTTTCTTTTTTAAAACCACAAATCCCACATTCCTCTCCAGGGACACTGATCAAACAAAGGCCTATTAGGAAACGGTCAATCAAATGTTTATTTTCCACGACAGCTTTGAGAAGTTGTTTTTTCCCCTTAAACTACAACTCACACAACCAGTCAGCAAATTTACTGAGAGCTGTAGTTCAACTTGTGTTCCCTGTCAACAACTAGCCATATAATTATCTCTATCATCAAATGTGGTAGGTCTCAGAAGACCAGCTGCTGAGGAATAAATAAAGGAACCGTGAACCTCTCTTGCCTGTGAGAGAGAGAGCATCAGTTGCTCTCTTCGCCCTGTTTAGGATGCTGAACAGACAAAGAAAACGGCAGTTGCAATGGCCGCATGCAGACATTCATTCACGAGCTCCTGAAAAGTGGTCTGCAAGCCATGAACAGTAGGCTCATCCTTTTACCAACACCCAGTTCTCTCTTGAACAATCCTGGGGATGAACGGCTCTACATTTATCTTCCTAAATAGGTAGGAAAAGACTTTACAGTGGTGTGTGTATGTTGCTCTCTGCTACAAGTGGCGACTTCACGGCCCCAGGGGGCAGCCATAAGGCGGAGGCCCACAGGAATACTGACCCAGTGGAAAGAGAGATTTCATCAAGGAGCCCTTTCAAGCCTGGATTGCCTTTTTTTTTGCCCCACAAAGAAAAAAAATGCTTCCAGATGGGCAGCTTTTGTAAACTGGAAAGGCCACCTTTCTCCGGGCCCCTAACATGCCAGGAATGACAAACAAAGATACAGTTGGATAAATGGGCTGGTAAAAATTTTATGTGGAATTATCTGGAAGACTGGATTTTAAGAATGAAATCTTTTGATCATGCTAATTATTTAAAGACAGAAGTGGCTCCATTGTCTGGATCTGCATAATGTAGGCTCGGATTCTCTCCCTGGCTCTCATCCTCCACAAAGAGAATTCAAGTTCTCAGCTCAGGATTATAGCAAGTCAGATAATAATTAATCACCAACCGAATCCAAGACGCAAGTAATACTTTAATTAAACTGCATCTCCTAAGGTGACTTTTCTCCCCACAGCGGCTAAATCCCAACAATCCAGGCTCCCACCCTTTTAATCCTATTTTTCTTAAGAACAGTAACAATTTTTTAAAAGCTTTTCGTGCTTTCTATCTATATCTGCCCAGGAAGACTACAACCCTTTTGAAAGATATGCTGTTGAGGATTAGGACTGAGCAGGGAAGAACAGTTCAGTCCCTGTCCTGTGCCAGAAGTTTGAAATCAGCTGGCTCATGAAGGACAGAAAAGACAATCAGTACTTTCTCTTGCGACAAACTTCCAAGTCCTGAAAGAGCATAACACTCAGATCCCTTATCTGTGTTATACAGAATGTTTCATCTGTACATTTGGAAACACACGCACTGTTAATATAGTACACATGCTCTTTCACGAGCCACAGACTTTGTGGTCCACATGATCACAGATCTCCTTTGTTTTTGCATGCAACTCCACTCTGAATGTATCACTGTGAGAGAGAATTTGATTTTATGTTCTATGTAAATCAACTCAACAGACCAGAAGGTAAGATTTAACATTCGTCTGACCTGAAGGCTTATTTTAGAAAAGCCATTATGGACAGACCGGAGGAAAATATTTCTACTGGTACAACAGGATGTAGCATTAGAACAAACAACCCCAACTTCAGACTGCAATGAAGGGGGAATGGGGTTTGTTTTCCGCTTTTCTTGAAATATTCCCTAAAACGTACGTCTGAGTGCGACACAGACTTTGTTTAAAACAACCACAGAAAACCTCTTGGGCTGTTTGTTCATGGTATGTTAGTTTTCTATATGCAGATATTTTCTTTTAAATTTGGAGAAGTATTTAAAAAGTATAATGTGTAATATGTAATCCGAAGCACTACAGTTCACTCAAGCCTATTGAAACCTCTGCTCCATGTGCAGAAAATTCAGTTAAGATACAGATTTGTCCTCAAATACATTCACTGGGGAACCCGTTGCAGAAAATGGGAGGATTCTTTTGTTCCTGACATATTCCACTGCTGGATGGAACCCAATTGTAAAGTCTCTGAAGGGGTCGACTTAAGTTTTTCATGTAAGCATTCTGAATATAACAAGGTATCATTTCCAAACACTCCTGCACCCACAAAATTACAGTGCACGGCATCTGCCTTTTATTACATGCCTCATGCCATTTCAATTAATTAGAATCGTTCACTACAACAAAATTAACTGAAGCCATTTTAGGAGATTTCCCTTACTTCCAGAGCTAAAAGATGCCTTTGATTTTCCTACTTCTCCCTGGGATTGTTTATATATAACCTCATATCTTTTTCTGGGGAACTGGATGTGTGAATTCAGTTCTTTCCAAGCCAAAACTAACAATATTTCTTCAAACAAAGATTCATTCAGAGCATCAGATAAGAACGCTCACGTATTGTGCTCCAGAGCAAAAAGGCAGAAACGGAGGACAAACACATTCCTGTATTGAGCGAATACAATTTGTTATTTCCCTCCTGTCTGGGAGATTTTAATGAAGTCCAAACCCTCCCACTGACTGCATTCAGTTTCCCCGAATGCCTGGAAAGCACATCTCCAGCTGAAAGCTTCAACATATTTCTCCGCCTCAAGGCCTGGAGTGGGAGTACATGGGAGAGGATCCAATTCATCCAGGCCTAGAGATCCAGATGGACCCAACACG